ATATACTGTCTCATTCACGTTGCTCGATCATGAGCTGTCATTGGTTTTGATTACGCCGTTCTTTGGTGTTTTTAATGAAAAATTGTTCTGATAGTTTATAAGTTTACTTTTCTTATTAGAATTTGAATATAAGTAATATACAATAATATTTAAAGATGTGGTTGCGTGCACAGTTGTAAGCGTAATGCCCTCGCCGCGCCCGGTGGTTTTTTTTCTAGTTGTGGGGGTAGCACCGCTTGTCAAAATAGAAAACGCCTGCGGTTCTAAACAGGTTTTATCTACTGATGACGCGAACCCACATTAATTACCCGCACAGTACCAATCAACCAATATTGTAACTTAGTATACATCTTTTAATAATAATAAACTTTATTTGTCCTTTCACACAAATACCATAACATAGTAACATCTTTAAAAAAAAAACAAAGTAGATGGGTACAATCTTGCAATCTATGTGAGAGACTGGTGTCTGTACTAGTAGGACTGTATGACAGATAACAAGCTCCTCCAATCCTGAACAAGTTGGAAATTATAATGAGGTACCAGTGATATATTATTAAAAAAAAATAATTATAGTAAAGAGAGGCTTTATATCATAAAATCTTACTTCTTTCCTTGTAAGAAATCTTTGCTAATCGTTTCTTATTATCTATAGGTACCAATATTATAATGAGATAGAGTTTCTAACTCAATTTGTTTCTATGTAGGGGGTAATCTTAAAAATACTGATCATATCATGTAAATTCTTTTACCTACGTGAAGATACGTGGGTGATATACGCTCAGTTGCACAAACTTCCATTAAGATAAAATAACGACTTTAAGCTCCAATGATAGTCCTAAATTCGAAACTTTGTATGGTTAATGTGTCATTATACTAATGATAATTGTAATGGACGTTGGAGGAGCTGGCCGATAGACTACACTATAGACGATAAATGACGGGAAAACAGCTTTTTGTTTAATAAATTGATATATAAACCGTGGTAGAGATCCACTGGCCAAAATACGGCAAGTCATTTCCCCAGCGTTATCAAAGAAATAAAAGTTTTTCTTAATGAAAAAAGCTTAAAAATCCACTTTGTCTCGGGCACTCTGAGATGGGACTCGAACCCATAACATTTCGCAATCCGAGCGACTGCTCTAACCACTGAGCTACCCAGGACCTAACAGGACTGATGAATCTTTCAAGCGCTTGTCACTTTTTAGCCACAAAGCGGCGATTCAGGCAATCCACACAAACAACTGTAAGAAATATTTTTACAAATATTTAAACTTTCGATAAAGATGAAAATTTATTGTAATTAATTTTCATTAAAAATATTTTTCAGAATAGCATTATGAATGCAAAACAGATCAAATATAATATTTGTCTGATATGTTATATCACTCTCTGTCCCTATATTCCTATGTATGCTTAAATCTTTAAAAAGACGCAACGGATTTTGATGTGGTCTTTTTCATAGATAGGGTGATTCAAAAGGAAGGTTTTTATGTATAATATAAGACCACGCGACCAAAAGCTAGTATATATACATGGTATGGTACATTATAGATATGTGGTACGTGCAAATAAACAATTCATTAATTTCACTTCTATAAAAGTATTTGCAACAACAACACACCCCAGACAAAAAAAGAGACTCCTACAATCACACCGAGACAGTGTAAAAAAGAAACAAAATCGAAAGCACCGACCACAAACACGGCAGAGAATGCAATTTCTTAAACAATAAAAAAATCTTCTAATATAATTTCTATAGTTTAGCTTTTAGTTGTTCTTAACATTAGAAAGCGCCGAGAATATTTTTGATTATCTCTCTTGGCTGATAGGTTTAACAAAAAATAAATATTTGAAACTAAAAGGATATTGATTATCTAGATATGCTTAAAAATGGAGCCTGATACCGTTAGAATTAATAATTCCATAAAGTTCAGTAAAGACATTTAAAAGCAGTTTTACTTGAACGGGAAATCATTTATGCTAAATCAGTATTTACATGCACAAATGTTGCATTCAATTGTATGTAACTGTGACTGTTTGTTTACCTGACTGACTTTATCGACTAAGACGCCCTAATACACATTCAGATTAATGTTTTACATAAAATTTAAACGCATTTAAATTGAATCGTATTTGATTTACAAAAGAGTATTTTATGTTTTCATAGTAATTTGCATTGGAATGATAGTTTTTTGATATGAACGAATGAAAATAAACAATAGCGTGCCGAATGAAGGAACACATGAATGCAATCCGGGATAACAGCACAAAAAAATCAGTAATTCCGGAACCTTTGTATGATTCGGGACTTAACCACTGCATCGAGCTACAAAAGCCACAGATTATCTCGACTGAACGCCACTACCAAGAATGATCGGAGAAACGATTGAAGAGTGAGGACGGGTTTGAATTGTCGAGTGTCTGGAATCCATCACCATCACCAGCCCTTTTACGTCCCCACTGCAGGGGCTCAGGCCTTCCTTATGGATGGTTAAGGAGGATGGGCCATGACCCTCCACGCTGGCCCAATGCGGATTGGAGGGTATTAACGACTGCAAATGCAGCCGGGACCAACGGCTTAACGTGCCTTCCGAAGCACGGAGTACTCGAGATAATAATTTTTGGTCACCCATCCCGTGACCGACCCTTGCGAAAGTTGCTTAACGATTACGATCGCGGGCCGCGGCGCTTATCCACTACGCCACTGAGCTACTGGAATTCAGTGGTTCGTATTTGTTACAACAAGAAGATAAATCAAAAAGTGTCGTTTCGCGATCAGATACAGTGAGTATTGTGTGTTGAGAACAGGTGCGATTTAGTTATATATATGAAAAATTTTCTTGTTTCCATTATTATTGAATGATTATGTTATTGACCATAGTTTTTTTTCTCTCTCAATTTATAATGTATTGATCCGGTAATGACATGGTTTTTGTGAATGTTTTTACTCCTATTAGAGCTGGTGAGTTTCTTGCTCGTTTTTCTTATCAGCCAAAAGACGTCCTGAAGTGGTAGGGAAAAAGAAGTTGGACAATTCAAAAGTACTATAGTTGACTTTAGTGTGGATAAACTGAACGCTAAAATATCGGGAGCTCAAGAAAAAATGTATATGTTAGAAATCCCGCAAAAAAACTATCATTGTAATAGACCTTATATACTATACTCAAAAAAGAAAATATGCTCAGTGTGTCAGCAACATAACCTATGTGAGTAACTAATTATTTTCCCGTGTAAATTGTAGCTTACGTCAGACGTCACCCACGTATGATATGGCTTTAAGTAGATGAAAGAATTTTCGTGATCGTGTCGGATAATAGTAGCAGTTTGTCACTAATGTCTATAGAATGAGATATGGTGGCAACAAAGATTTTGTAGATGTGATTTTCGATTTTGCTAAATTAAAATCTAGAAGGATACCTCTTCAATCTGTATAGATGTATGAGCAAGGACTAATCGTGGATGCTAGTTTTCATATTTTATTGTTGCCGAAAAAAAACGTATATATTAAGAACTTTAGAAATGAAATAAGAACCACTTGAATAACGATCTTGTCCTGTAGATTTGCTAATAATAAATTCATTTATGGAATATTCGAATTTTGATTCTATAATCGGTACTTTCATCCCAGTGTGCTTTTATTGTTTTTATTCAAGTGAACCAAATTACTACGTTTCTCTGACAAAAATGTCAAATTTCTCCATTTGATTTGAAACGTTAATATGTTCAAGGTAGAGTTAGAAGACAATTGAGCAAATTTGACTTATTGTGGTAGCCTAACGTGCCGACGTGTATACATATTTGATACGAAACCTTAAACGTAAATCAAACAACATTACGTCAGCTTAACCTAATAATATAATACAGTTGCATTCAAATTATCTATAATCACCTTTGCTGACATAACTTAAATTCAAGTTCTTGGTACAAAACTGCTTTAGTTGAATTAACGAAAGAAAAAAAACCTGCAAATGATGTGAGGTATGCAAATAGTCCAATTGTGTTTAAAAACAACTAATTACATAATTTTATATGTGAAAAACTGGTCGAATGACAGTGAGACTTGTTATACAAGAGTTCCAAACTGATATAAATACAATTGTAATAAAAAAGAGTTTTTAAAAACAAGCTTTATTTGTGTACACTAAAACGTAAATAAATAAATTCTTATTAAATAAATAAATTCTTATTTATTTACTTATCATTTGAAAAGCTTATAGCGCGTAAAAAGTAGGTGTGCTTCCTCGTCTCCAATTTCATTAGCGCTACTAACTTTTCAAGTCAATTACTGTTAGAGAAAATTTTGATTTTAAGTACTTTAAATGTATTGAATTTATTTATGTTCTCATAAATATGAATATAAAGAGCCCAAACAAGATTTAGTTGCCTTATTTCGTCACTAAGTTCTTATGACCACCTTCCGACTTCATCATCAGACCCCATAATATAGCATTGACATTGGGAAATGGGTCGAGTTGAAATATTTGCGCACTAAAAATATACTAACAAGGCAAGAAAAATAAAAGCTTGTAAAAAATCATTTTTGTTATATTATATAAAAGACTACTTTCCTTTTTCTTTATAATTAATTTATCAATTATATTATAGGTAACATACGTGACGGCACCGAAGTAGAAATGATTTTTCACATATTGCATCTATAAAGCATATATTTTAATCCTAAGAAGACAAGATCGGCTTCTAATTGCTCAGACAATTTCACGAAAAATGTAATAAATAAATCGATAGCACAGGAATTGTACAACGTAGAGTCAAAGTATCTTTATTCCAATAAACTTATTAAAGTTCTTTTGAATCGTCCAACATGTTTTCCTATCACTCGGTCAAGAGCGTCTTTTTACCGAACGTAACCAAAATTTCGTTCAAATATTTATTCTGTAAATTTAGATTTTTGAAGTTGACCGTATCTACTTAGGCGCCGTCGACATTTGCATACCAAAAAAAATGGAAAGCGCTATTTGAGGAGAATCTTGTACCTTCTAGCATTCTAGCGGCTTTTCAGCGTCAAGTCTCATATGTTCGTCCATTTCAGATTCCCTCGGTTCCAATGCGTCGGCGCGGTACACAGCGTTCTCTATCCAGACCGCTATACGATCAGATATCGCCACCATGAACCGAGCCAGGCGTCCAGGGTGTGTGCGAGAAGGCTTCGGTTCACCTGTTTATTACAATTTTTATAATAATGTCTTCTCATTCCTTTTTTGTACTTGCTAGAGATAAACATATAACCCTATTACCTATGCTCCAATCTATATAATCAGCTCACCACGTAACTATATTTCATAATCTATTTTTAGACTCAAATTTACGTTCAATACGGGTTGAATTTCATACACACAATTTTATACAATGTTCAATACAATATCTAGTTGTAATAAAAATGCACTTCAAGGTACTCCTTGAAGTGCATTTTTTGGCAATCCGCGATTGACCTGCTCCAGATAAAAATATTTTAAGCCTCCTTTATCTACCGTTGCTTTCATCGGTAGGAGCCACAATCACTTCTACCTCCTAGCGCATAATTCGATTGGCAGCGGCTTGAATAAACTGAAAGTTCAATTCAATCGGATCAATCGATCGAATTTAGAATATTGATAGCAAATTACAGCTTACACGTAACTTCAAAGATTTCTATGTATACTATTATAACAAACTGTTCGGTTCGCTTACTAAAAAGAAGTAAGAGAGTCGGCAATGCGGCCATTTGCGCTCTTAACTTAATCAACCCATTATTATCTTTTAAAAATATTAGAGATATTCCTTTCGTAGACTTAAAATCAAATAAAAAACGTACCACGCAACCCCAATGCGGACTGGTGAATATTAACAACTGTAGACGTAGCCGAAATGTTTCGATTTATGTTTCGAATTGGGTATTAACCATAAAGTCAATATTATCTACTTACACAACAGTAGTCAGTTACATGACACTAACTTCACGGACTAACCTAAAATCTCTGCTACTCTTTCCAAAACCACATCCGCGATGCTCCTCAGACGGTTAGACACTAACATTTCTTTTTGACCCTTCGCTATGTAGTCACATAGACGGTAGGCAACCTAATTATGAAAAAATGTACTTATTAAAAAACGAAGTCAAATTCATTTTCTCCACACTGACTCTGACCAAAGTCCAATATTATGTGGTTTTTTCTCTACTTCAGTATGGTTGGAAAAAAACTAAATTCAGCCGAAGTCTTAAGCAGAGATACCCATACCCAATATACTTTTATCGTCGTCTACTAGTATAAAGTTTTACTGGTATATTTCTTACATATTCGAGTACCCCGTGATGCTTGGTAGCCCACATGATCATGGACCACTGTAGGAATCACGGCCTAGCTAGAGCAACAACATATTTGTGCCTTGACTACATGAAAACTTTGAAATCACAGAAGTGACCTATCATCATCATCATCATCACATCATCAGCCCTTTTACGTCCCCACTGCAGGGGCTCAGGCCTTCCTTACGGATGGTTAAAGAGGATGGGCTGGCCCAATGCGGATTGGAGGGTATTAACGACTGCAAATGAAGCCGGGACCAATGGCTTTACGTGCCTTCCGAAGCACGGAGTAGCTCGAGATAATAATTTTTGGTCACCCATCCCAACTTTCGCAAGAGTCGGTCACCCCTTGCGAAAGTTGCTTAACGACAACGATCGCGGGCCGCGGCAATTATCCACTACGCCACCGAGCTACTCATCATCACCGGCTATTAATAGCCCCACTGCTGGGACACAAGCTTTGCCTATGCATAAAATTGAATCGAATATGAAGAATGGGCCATAAACCATCATGCGGACCCAATGCCAATTGGTGAGTGTTAACTACTTCAGATACAGCCTAGACCAACGACTTAATGTGCTTGACGAAGCAAGGACGAACCAAGAGAAAAAATGTCATCCATCCCATTCGCTTAACTTCTGCTTTGCAGATTGAACGCGGTGACAACTGCTCCATGGAGTTGGACTGCAACTTCTTATTAGTATTTAATCCCCTTACAAAACTAGAGAGTATTATTTGCAAGCACAATCTTATATACAACTTAGAGTCACAGCAGCGTAATATGATATTGATGTAAACAAGGTAATTATATAAGTATAGCTATTAATCTTTCGAACCTGAGCGCTAAAGTTGACGAGCCACTTCTGCCGTTGGCGTAACTCTTTGGCTTTATCACCTGTGTCCTTGCGGCCAGCCATGCCGCCAGGTCCACTCCAACGCTTCGAAGATTCCGACATCATTTGGAAATACTGCTCTGTTTGCCTGAACCCCAATAAAAATGTACTTGAATACCCTTCATCAAGTTATGATCACGCGTTCTTTAGAATTTGATGTACCTACCTAAGCATTTATCTGTCTACGAATTTATCTAAGATAGTGGATGGCGGTTTTGGGTAAATACAAAAACAGGAAAATTGCCAAAATTTAAAATTACGAATCAAAAATCTTTCCGACTTTCGCATAAAGTGTGCATAAGTTCAAAGCAGTTTCAAAGAATTGAATACAAAATTATATACAAGTTCGCGACACATACAATACATTTTGAAGATTTGCACTGAAACTACGTTAGCAGCTTTCCGAAAACCGAGTCTATGTAATCTGTTGAATATAGCTACGTAAAGGTAATCGGTTTCCTGGGTTCATTCCTCCACGTCAGAATACATTGTATTTTTAGTGGGTAAGCCTCTGTGGATCTATTTAGCGAATAAGCGCTGGTGGTATATAACCTGGTCGCTCGCCAGGTAATAAAAAAAGGTTCCTCATGTTCAACTAACTCCGGACTTAAAAAATATTCTTCTTCTAAAGCGCTCTTGATTTTATCTCGGCGCGCCTTCGGCAGTATTGCACACTTCTCGTCCCAAAGAGAGCGTAGCCGACGCGCGGGGGGCCGTGCCAACATCTCGACACGCTCCATGTTGCGGCGCATGCGCGGCGACACCGGCGGATCACCTATCCAAACACACAATAGAAATGATAACTATTTTTATTTCTATCCGTCAAATAGCTTATTGAAGAACGTTAAACGTGTATTTTATATTTTTTGCGTAATAAATAATTACACCTTTGTACATTTTCTACTTATTTGTGACGTAGTGAGCCCCCCAACTTTGATGCCCATTATCTTAACTATGTCTTGCTTTTAAGTAAAAAAATACGTAGTTCTGTAATATTTTTAACCCAGGCATTATCCTTTTGCACCTGATTAATATCGAACTGCAAAGAAGCATATTCATTTGACATGATTCTTATAAATGTAAGCTTTTACAAAAAGATAAATTTATTATAATCTAGCATGTCAAATGTGACATACATGTACAGTTAACCTTTGGATATCTTAACCATGAATGTGCCGCTAGTACATTACAATAGGTTATTATTTATTTTAGTTTCGAAAATGTTCAGTCAATTCTGATCTCGCAGTCTCTGGCCAGTCCTGCCACCCTATAGTTGCGGTACCAGTGGCGTACCTAGCATTTGTTTCTTGGTCCTTTCTTGTTTTTGATTTACATAAATGACTTGCCTTATTTCGTAAGGGATGATCACGAAATAGTTTTGTTTGCGGATGACACTTCACTCTTGTTTAAAATTAAAAGAGGGTTACCTCTAAATGACGATGTGAACAATTCTATCGCTAAAGTAGTACATTGGTTTAATGTAAATAATCTTCTCCTTAATGAAGGAAAAACAAAATGCTTAAAATTTGTACTACCTAATGTTAAAAAAGTAGATATAAATGTTAATGTAAAAGATAAGAACATGGGCCTTGTGGATACCACAGTATTTTTAGGAATAACATTAGATTCTAAACTACAGTGGGGCCCACATATTGATAGATTGTCGAGTAGACTTAGCTCTGCAGCATATGCCGTAATGAAGATACGTAGGTTAACTGACATAGATACTGCCAGATTAGTATACTTCAGTTACTTTCATAGTGTTATGTCATACGGTATCCTATTGTGGGGAAATGCTGCCGACATACAAACAATTTTTGTGCTTCAGAAAAGAGCAATTCGATCAATTTATAATCTTAGGATTAGGGACTCTTTAAGGGAGAAATTTAAGGAAATAGACATTATGACTGTTGCTTCTCAATACATATACGAGAACTTAATGTACGTTCGTAAAAATATTAGTTTGTTTTCTATAAAAAGTGATGTACACAATTTTAATACAAGAAATAAAAATAAATTAACGGTGCCTGTCACTAGACTGCAAAAAGTTAATAACTCTTTCAAGGGTCTTTGTGTGCGCTTCTACAATAAGGTCCCAAGCAAAATACAACAATTAGATATCATGCAGTTTAAATCTACTATTAAAAAAATACTTATTAAAAAAGCTTATTATAAGGTATCCGATTATGTAACAGATAAGAACGCTTGGACTTGAGATGATCCAGAAACTGGATAGGTGATTACTTCTAAACTCATTATCTTGTTTCCATTATTATTAAATGATTATGTTATTATTATAAGACCATAGTTTTTTTTTTTTATCTCTGTTTATAATGTATTGATCTGGTAATGACATGGTTTTTGTAAATGTCATTACTCATATTAGAGCTGGTGAGTTTCTTGCTCGTTCTTCTTATCAGCCAAAAGACGTCCTGAACGAGTGGTAGGGAGAAAATGTTGGACGATTCAAAAGTACTTTTAAGAAGTCTATTTGAATAAAGATTATTTTGACTTTGACTTTGACTTTGTTTCCACAACTTTTTTATACTGAGCTAGCATTGAGTTATGGAACATATAATTTATTTATTTAATTTTCGCTTTTTAATGTTGTTGTTGTCAACAATAAATTATATTTATTTATTCATTAAATAAATATTGCTCAGATCCCAAGTAACTAAAGAATGGTTCATTTTCCACATCGAACCGACCGGGACTCGAACGCGGTACCTCCGAGACCGACGTGCGAGCCACTGGGCTACGGAGGTCGTCATCTTACTTTAGGCAAATATACCACTTACTCGATAACTATTTGAGTGCATATTTAGAACTACTAACCAGAATTCTTCAATACTTTGACGTTTGAGTCAGTTCGCGACATGAGGTCGGCTTTTGAATCATTTGACTTGTCCGTCTGAGAGGGGATCCGGTCGACACTGCGCCTTGGCATATTGCTATATAATTTAGCCTACACTTTAAAATTTTGAGATACTAATTTGTAAAAATTGTCCGAAAATGCAAACAACACTGAAATTTATTCTTAACGGTTTTTAAAAGAAATTGTCTATGGTCTTATAATAATGACTGACAGTAGCTGTCACTATTTTTTACTTTAAAACCATAGTTATAACCTTCTAATGAGTTCTGCTTACAACTCAGGTATGCCTACAACAGAGATTAATACTTTATTCTACAACTATAAGCTTTTTTATAATTATATGCTTACCAAGAACTTTAGATATTCTTTAATTTAATACCTATGACTACTAGTATATTATATACTAATATATTATGTTAATTCTACTTATAGATTCATAGAAGTATTACTATGGGTTTGAAATGAGGTTACATAATATCTAGAGTCACCCCCCACACCCCGAATCCGAAAATCAATAGGTTTATACACACAGTATCAAGAAAAGAAATATTTTAAGCTGTAATTATTAAAAATAAAAACAAAATGCTGTCAATAATGAGTCAATAATAAGCTCCTACTAATGTGGCAGCACTAAATGGTGACACTAGCCAAAGTTGGTTTTGGCAGGAAACGAATAGACCAAAGATATATTGAAAAACTGAAATTTGCTAAATTCGAAACTGAGATATCAATACAAATAAGAAAAAGTAAAAATAGATTATGAGTTGTTTATTGAGTTTTGCAAATTAATTTACTTTTATACATGAAAGAAAACCAGAAAGGCTGTCATGGAAAAATCAAGAAAGTACCGTAGCGACATCTAGTTTGATTTCGGAAACTAATATTTTTTTTAAATACTTCCGCATTGAGTTCAATTTAAAAACTCAACTAGTATTCAGCTCGTGTTGTAAGGAAATTTAACAGATAGACGAAATAAAAAAAATATATTATTGTAAATCAACATTTATTCTACAGCACGGGGTCTCAAACATAGCCACGTGGAGAGGTCAGGAACTCCGTCGTTTATATTATGAGATACACTAGTCATGTCTTCATTTTCATTTTCAACGGGCAGGTGCCATGCACCATCCTTTTTCTGGGCGCACGGAGTAAACCGTAGTGGTGGCTGTAGAACAAAAATTAATAATATAAGTAGGCACGACTTGTTAAAATATAATTAAATCACAATCTTACGCTATGCCTTTATCATGAGAAATGTCTTCAAACTATCTTTCAATATGTATGTATTAAAATTACAGTGTGGCATAATTAATGTAAACCAAATAACGATAAGGGCACTTATAAACGTTCTTGCGGACACCGTGAGATAGCCACGCTAGTTGCGTACTTAATATCTTAGTAACATTACACCTGCGTTCTACAGTATTTAAAAACAATAAATGCCGAAGGAGAATAGCAAATTTAATCTCTATTAACTGTGTCATAACATTCAAATTCTTTGCGACTAACTAATCACATAGAGGCAACGAACAAGTTCAGATGGGGTGAACATTTTCTATTTGTTTGTGCCTTTTTTTCACTTATATACGTCAAATTTCATCCCTATTGACTAGGTCATAAAACAAAAAGAATTGAATATTATGACTCATAATATTCAATTCTTTTTGACTACCCAAACCGCCCAAAAATTTATTTTTATTTATTTATTATCAACAACATTTACATCGATAGTTACAGCTAATAGCCAATGCGATCTAGTAAACCTTAACAATTGTTCTTATCTTAACTGAAGACCTTACTTTTTTATATATAAAATAAGCTTTATATAATATACAACGTGTCCCAAAATTCAACGATAAGCGGGCGCCAAGAGGTAGACCTGCTCATGTGTACTTATGGAAAAATATGAAAAAAAATATATCTTATTAATCTTTTTTATTATAAAATAAAATTCGAAAATTTTCGAAAGAGTTGTAGCGAATAGTAGTGCTACTTAGGTATCCGATACCAAAAAAAGATTGAACATAATTGAGAAGTTGTGGTCGTGGTAGTTGAAAATATCATAAAAAGTGTAAATTTTCGAAGATTTTCGAATTTAATTTTATAATAAAAAAGATAAGATATAATTTTTTTCTTATTTTTCCATAAGTACACATGAGCAAGGGTACCTCTTGGCGCCCGCTTATCGTTGAATTTTGGGACACGTTGTATATATTGTTCTTTATTAATTTTATATGTACAAAAAAATATTTTGCTGTTTTTGTAAACTCACTCAGAGCACAATCAAATATGTCAATTTCATTAGCTATCATATTTTTATGCTTAACCTAAACATAGACAGTAAACACACGCAAGCCACGCGAGAGTCACGTGGTCACGTGGAGTAACTCTTCGTAGTGTGGGCGCAACAGAATTCTTATCATATAAATGCGCCCTAACAATAAAAAGGCTAAAGTCACGCTGACAGGCTGTAACTGTATTTAAATATGCCCAAAGTCTCTATTATTACAATAGAGGTGGAAACAAATTTATCCTAAAGCATTTGATTTTAAACTGAACTGTCAAGATATTAAGGTTTCTGATCATAATATTCTTGACACAAGACACAAACCTGTATTATCAGGTTTTTCCCTTTATTGATGAACACCATCCACTGATGTTGCCATTGCCATCTTCTAAAGATAAGTGCTAGTTGTTTATCTTTCAAAAGAAACCTGTGTCCCCTGAGCAGGTCTTTTGACACTATATCAGTGTTGGCACCACTCAATATGGCAGCTGTTATAAAGTAAGGATCATCTTGTGTCCTGAAAATAAATAACATTTAAACTGTTCAATTCATTATTTCTTTGCATAGTTAATGAGGACGTATTTAAAAAAAAGAAAGCACTAAAAAAGTACCTCCACTAGATCTAGCAAAAGTAGATTTTTACAAAAAAAGAAATGGACCAAAGACAGTCATTTCCGTTCTTTTTAACTAACATATAAAAAAAAACTATAAAAAATTTGCAAAGTTCGAAACTTAGATATCAATACAAATACGAAAAATAACAAATTGAATATGAGTTTTTATTTTTTTTTTATTTATTTTTATTCAACAAAACGAATACAAATAATTTAATATATCAGAACGGTACAACATAAACTTACAAAAGTTTTTCCATGTAACAAAAGTTTTTCCATGTTGCTTATTGAGTTTTGAAAACTAATTTACTTTTATACATGAAAGAAAAGGGTTGTCATGAAGAAATCAAGAACGTACCGTAGCGACATCTAGTTTGATTTCGGGAACTAATGCTTTTTTTAAATACTTCATTGTGTTTGAACATAAAAAACTATGATTCATAAAAAACAATGCATCAGTGTCAACTAAAGGTCATAAACATATATGAGATATGCTTAAAAATATAGAATATAAGGATATTATTGCTGGTAACAAAATGTTCTCAGACACATACAAAGTCAAGCTGGCTGACGAAGTAATCTATGAAGTCACAGGTAAATTAGTGTTAGGAAAGCAGGGCAATATTAGAATTTAAAGTTTCAATCCTTCTGCTGAAGAGGCTGATGAAGGAAGAACTGACACTGCAGTAGAGTGCTGTAGACATTGTACTCAACTATAGGCTAGTGAATACATATGCCTTTGGTGACAAATATCGTACACATGATACCTAAAAGACTACACCAAAAAATTAGTAGCAACATTGGAGGAGAAGGCACCCGATCAAGTAGAAGTATTTACGATAAACATGAACAAAGTAATGAAAGACATCTTAGGAAGGTTCCTAGTGAATCTATGATCTGTGACAGCATGGTCACCACGATGGAGTACTGAGATGTCAATGGTGTTCAAATACCAATCATGCTATTATTCAAACACAGCCTTGAGGAGAAGTTCTAAGGGTACAGCTTAAGTGAATAGTCTCATATTCAAATTACTGGCACCTAATGCACTATTTATTTATAAAACTATGTCTGCATCGGCTGGAATTGGCTATTCCCATTACAAGGCTGAAATTAGGCTAAAGAATGAACATTTTTGTAATGTTATGTACATGACATTTAGTGTGTGGGCTACACCAGGAATCTACAAAAGTAGAAAAAGGCTCTATGAACTATATGATGAACGTAATTATAACACAAGTGAGGACTTCATAGAATATGTACGAAATTACTCTAAATTATTCAAAAAAGTGTGTCGTTTAGCCAAATGTTATTATTTAAATGCAAAAATTAAAAATAGTAAAGATAAAGTTAAAATGACGTGGAATATCATAAATAGTGAAACTGGAAGAGAAAAATCCCGGAATATAAATTTTAATTTAAACATTGATAATAAAAAAGTAATATCAGATCTTGAAGTTGCTACAGTATTTGAAAATTTATTTACTGAAATTCCAGTCTTAATAACACAATCTTTGAATTCCTCTTCCACTGTTTCTGAATCTATTTTAAAGGCAAGTTTAAATAATTGTAATAGCCAATTTAAGTTTCAACACATTGATTTTAAAGATATAATAAAATCTTTTAATCAGCTAAAGAAAAAGAAAACCGCTGATTTATGGGGTAATTCCATTGAAGTTTCTAAATCGGTAATTGAGACAATAGCTCCAATCTTAGCATATATATTTAATGAATGTACTGATTGTGGTATTTTTCCAGAGCTCATGAAATATAGTAAAATTATTCCTTTACATAAATCGGGTAGCACATCTGACCCTAATAACTTTAGACCTATATCCGTGCTACCTACGTTTAGTAAGATTTTTGAAAAAATCATGCTGGATCAAATACAAACGTACTTTTACAAGAATAAGCTTATGAATCGACAACAATTTGGTTTTACAAGGGGTCGCTCGACAACCGAAGCCGGTGTCGCGTTAATACAAGAAATTTTTAATGCCTGGGAGGATTCACATGATGCGTTAGGTGTTTTCTGTGACCTATCTAAGGCATTTGATTGTGTTTTTCATGAAACATTGATTAGGAAACTGCATTTTTATGGATTTAGAGATAACTCATTGGATTTTATTGTCTCATACTTGACTGACAGAGTACAGAGGGTTGATATCAATGGCAAAAGATCCCCTGGATCGAAAATTAAGATGGGTGTTCCACAGGGTTCAATACTTGGTCCTTTCTTGTTTTTGATTTACATAAATGACTTGCCTTATTTCGTAAGGGATGATCACGGAATAGTTTTGTTTGCGGATGACACTTCACTTTTGTTTAAAATTAAAAGAGGGTTACCTCTAAATGACGATGTGAACAATTCTATCGCTAAAGTAGTACATTGGTTTAATGTAAATAATCTTCTCCTTAATGAAGGAAAAACAAAATGCTTAAAATTTGTACTACCTAATGTTAAAAAAGTAGATATAAATGTTAATATAAAAGATAAGAACATGGGCCTTGTGGATACCACAGTATTTTTAGGAATAACATTAGATTCTAAACTACAGTGGGGCCCATATATTGATAGATTGTCGAGTAGACTTAGCTCTGCAGCATATGCCGTTATGAAAATACGTAGGTTAACTGACATAGATACTGCCAGATTAGTATACTTCAGTTACTTTCATAGTGTAATGTCGTACGGACTCCTATTGTGGGGAAATGCTGCCGACATACAAACAATTTTTGTGCTTCAGAAAAGAGCAATTAGATCAATTTATAATCTTAGGATTAGGGACTCTTTAAGGGAGAAATTTAAGGAAATAGACATTATGACTGTTGCTTCTCAATACATATACAAGAACTTAATGTACGTTCGTAAAAATATTAGTTTGTTTTCTATAAAAAGTGATGTACACAATTTTAATACAAGAAATAAAAATAAATTAACGGTGCCTGTCACTAGACTGCAAAAAGTTAATAACTCATTCAAGGGTCTTTGTGTGCGCTTCTACAATAAGGTCCCAAGCAAAATACAACAATTAGATATCATGCAGTTTAAATCTACTATTAAAAAAATACTTATTAAAAAGCTTATTATAAGGTATCCGATTATATAACAGATAAGAACGCTTGGACTTGAGAAGATCCAGCAACTGGATAGGTGATTACTTCTAAACTCATTATCTTGTTTCCATTATTATTAAATGATTATGTTATCATTATAAGACCATATTTATTTATTTTTTCTCTATCTCTGTTTATAATGTATAGATCTGGTAATGACATGGTTTTTGTAAATGTCATTACTCTTATTAGAGCTGGTGAGTTTCTTGCTCGTTCTTCTTATCGGCCAAAAGACGTCCTGAAGGAGTGGTAGGGAAAAAAATGTTGGACGATTCAAAAGTACTTTTAAGAAGTCTATTTGAATAAAGATTATTTTGACTTTGACATAAATAAGTAAACTATGAAAGACCCAGTTTTTATCAAACTGCTATAAACTGATTATTAAAAAAACTAAATTACAAATGAAAGCCTGTTAAGTACAGTTTGAGATGTGCTTAACTTTAAATACTCAATTCAGAAACTGGGTGTGAGTTTAAGTGTTGTATTTTATTTTGTTTAATAATAATCAGCACCTAAGCAATCAATCTTTAATCTTTTTTATAACAGTTTTTGTTTAATTAATCAATTCTAATATTAGAAAGAACTAAGGTTTGTTTTTTAATAAGCTCTGGAACAACTGGTCCAATTTTTTAATTATTTTACTTAGAGCCTGTATCATCTGTGTATGATAGGGTACATCATACACAGATGACATAGGCTTCGATTCCGAGAAAAAAGCTATTAAAAAATAAAGTAAAAATATACATATAAATTAATCACACTTACAAATCATCAGTGAAGAAATGACTTGTTTTCTTCAATATATCTGACATTAGTTTCTTAGGCCAATGGAGCATATGCTTTCTTCCCAACAGTAAAATCTTTTTGTTTCTGTTAGCAAAATAATTGACAACTGTACTTAATACTTTAACTCTCTCAAGAGAATTTTTCCTGGCCACATAAGCAATGTTCAGGGCATCTAAAACAATATCATAGGGTGCACTGTCATCAACAAACTTTAGAAACCTGTCCAACTCCTGCGGCGATGTTTTAAGGAACAAATCTGAACCCACTATTAATTTATCTTTTATGTTTTTTTGTAAATTTAAAAACTCATCTTCTGTTATTTTAAGACAGTCTAATTTCTTAAGGCAGCAGGAACATTCTCCACTGTAACAGAATAAAAAAAGTCTTCCATAAAAGTTATTCTATAAATAAATATAATTATACCAAAACACTTTATTTTAGCCCAAAAACATATTGATTTATTTGTATTCAACTTACTCATTTTTTTTTATTTTAGCAACATTAGCATTCCAGCCTAGTGAAGTATACACATCTTGAATACTTTTTGCTGTTTCTTCATTTATTGTTACTGAATTATTAAAAATATGCAAACAAATGTCTTCTAAATATTTCAACTTAGTTTTTCTCTCCTTATATTTCTTCTGAATATAATTAATCCAAGCTACATATGCATTAGTTTGTAGTGCTCTATTATCACTGACACTTCTATTAATAAGTTTTATGGCTTCACCCTTTTTATTGTTGTCAAAGAGTGCAGATATTAATGTACTGTAGGCAGAATGTGAAGGTTTACCACTGAAGTTTATATCTTCCAAAACTTTTAGTGCTTTCTTCCATTCATTTATTGCACAAAGAGCGTGAAGCAAACGTTCACAAGTAGTAGTATCTAATATTTTATATTTCTCATATAAACTATTATAACTTTCTAGTATAAATGTCTTCTGTTCAGATGTTAATTTATTAATCTTACTCATTTCATAAAATAGGAATAGCAATCCATTTGTACAACCTAAAGTGAGTTGATTATATGTTTTTTTACAGTATTCAGCATAAGACAGAGCTGCATCAAACTTCTTTGTATTTACCATCAGCTTCAATAAAACTGCATCAAGATTTTTCTCATTCACTGTACCAGGCATTTGTAAAGTATTATCCCTTACAGTTGACCATTCTATTTCACTTTGATTTGATATAGCAGATTTGATATAGTCAATTTGATCAATCCCATGTTTACCCTTCGTAATAGGTGAAGAGTTATTGATAAGCCTCAACGAAACACGAATGACTAAAACACAATCGTTATTGAATGAATCATATATAATACATAGTTACATAGTTATTGATTTAATTATTTAAGCGTGCTACTTATTTAGTACACTCACAAGATCTCTGGCTAGTCAATATTCGAGATGTAAAAAACATTGTAATTGCATATCCTCAATTCTCAATGAATTAGCTAAATGAAACCATTAACTAAGTTGTGCAAACATATTTTTTTATATATAAATTAGTATAAAAAAAGTAACGCTCATGCATTATTTTTAGGATTATTTCACAAATAATTCCAATATTCCATTATTATAAAGTGCAGTGACAGCCACGTGAGACTGACATTTAGAATTGTATTTAATAATAAAAACAAACGAATCTTATACATACAGCTTCATTTTCAACCACTATAAATAAAATTACCATAGGATTAATGAGTTGTTAGTTTTTCTACAGTACCTTTATCTTTCACCAAAATTTCAGATCTGAAACACGCTTCAGAGAATTAAGTTAAAAGATATTGGTACGGTAGTGACCTTTACCAGACATCAGCATTACACTTTGAAAAACGAAACGTATGAATAAAAACAAACGCAAAGGGATATTAGTCCGTACAGCCTAACCTTTGGTATAACAATTATGCATACATACATAGTGGACGAAATATATTAATGGGAAAATGAAATCAATAACTTGTTAATTTATTATAATAAGTTAGGCGCCGAATAAGCTCAAACCAGGCCTCAACTGCAGCGACGAGCTTCGACTCCACTCAGAACTCCTCTAGTGGATGCTACCTCCACTAGATGGCGACTCTAGCAAAAATTGATTTTTGCAGGAAACGAATAGACTAAAGACAATCATTTCCGTTCCTTTTAACTAACATATAAAAAAACTGATATTTGAAAAGTTCGAAACTTAGATATCAATACAAATATGAAAAATTACAAATAGAATATGAGTTGTTTATTGAGTTTTGAAAATTAATTTACTTTCAAACATGAAAGAAAACCGAAAGGATTGTCATGGAGAAATCAAGAACGTACCGTAGCGACATCTAGTTTGATTTCGGGAACTAATTTGTTTTTTTTACCTGCATCTCTTGCCATATCTCAAAAATATTATTTTAAGGAATCCAGGAATAATTTATTTATTTATTGTTTATTGCATTTTAACACAAAAGGCGGACTTAATGCCAAAGGTATTCTCTGCCAGTGTACCAGTAAAAGATGTTGGAGTCAGGATTTTAGGCGATAAGAATAAAAAAAAACAAAAAAAAAGTGTGTAGTGTGTAGATCAGCCGTTGTAAGTTATAATTTGCTCAATTCATATAATGTTACTCTTTGGATTTCATTCGATATGAATTTTCAAATTGTTGGTATTTTCATATTGATATAGTATCGATATCAAAATATCTACTTATACTGGGAGGAACAAAATGACCGACACAGCCGAAAGTTTCAAGTTAGAGTCTGGCAAGCGAAACGTGTCACAAGAAAAGGGCGGCAATTTCAAAAATTCTTAAGCAGTAAACACTGAATGTAGTACTGCAAAATAATTTTGATACTTTTATTAATTATATTTAATCTTAACATTTAGATATCAATTAAAATTATTTGTTTTGGAACATTTGACTAAAGCGTGACTGTTCTTAATTGTACAGTTAACAGCATATCAGTAGGCCTATTCACTAACTCAACTGACAACCAAGAATCGTCATCACCGTAAAAAATAGACACTTTGATTGTGTCAAAATCACTATTTCGTATTCTCTATCAATGATGAGCAATTTCGAAATGTCAATATCGGCATTCTCCACTGGACTCCATTTTGACACTTGATTTCGTATCGATAAACTGTATTAAAGTAACATTGTTGCAAAGCATATTTGAAGTCGTCGCATAGTACCTCTTAAGCCATTTGTTGTTAAATTAAAGCGAAAAAAAATACGTATCCAATATTTTTCTATTATCTGACTGACGGACTAAATCGAATCTTTTTTTTAACCCATTCGTTATACCTATTGGCTAACAGCACTTATAATATTAAAAATTCATATTTGTCATTAATTAAAAGGGTGTTTTTTGCAACGACTTCTTTGTTTTTTTTGTAATGAATATGGGCGACTCTGGCCACATTTTTTTAATAAATGTGATGTTAGCCAATTTTGATTTCTGGCCCTTATATTTATAATGTGTTCATAACACATACATGTCTCCTAAGGGATTTTTCATCACAACCTTTTGCTCTGATCCAGAACCACTATCTATCAAATTAAATTAGTCAATATAAACACCAGATTACAATAAAAAAAACATTTATTTTTGTTACAATTAAGTGCCATGGATAAATTACATAATACAGGTGTCACAAAATCATCATGTTAATCACAATAGAAAATTTAAGATAAGATTTTGACTATGAATCAGACTAAAAATACTTTAGTCTGATTCATAGTCAAAATCTGTTTCTAAATATTCTACACCTGATAACAATGACAAGGAATCATCAGAGTCACTCTCTTCACTACTGTCTGCACCAACAGATATAATAAATTTTTCAAGTTCGTTTTCAACAATGCCATCTTTTAATTTGTAATCATTTTCGACATTTAAAACATGATCAGTGTATTTCGTCCAGTCACTAGGGGTAATTAAGTTAAAACACTCTATTATTAAGTTTTCCATTTCCTTTCCTGGTATTCCAATGTTTCTGCTTGCAATTTTTCTTTTTGCTTGACTCCAAACCATCTCTATTGGGTTTAAGTCACAATGATACGGTGGCAGCAATAAAAGTTCATGATTATGTTCTTTTAAAATCTCTTCAGCTTCATATACAGGCAATGTTTTCTTATCATTAACCAAACACATTAACTCTGCCTTTGTCTGATATTCCTCAAAATGTATTCCATTATTTACAAGCCATTTACGGATATCTGCTTTGGTATTAGACATTATAGGCGGTTTATTGATTTGTTTTATATGGTAGCTGGCATTATCCATAACAATTACACTGGGCTTACTTAAATTTGGTATTAATTTTTCTCTGACCCATTTCATAAAGTTCGATGAGTTCATATCATCATGATAATCAGCAGATTTGGATTTACTACTGAACACTAATAATGCACCAGGCACAAAACCTTCCTCAGATCCAGCATGCACAACAATATGCCGTTTTCCAGAGGATATCTTTGTAGTGACACCAGTTGTTGAAGGTCCTTGCCAAGACTTTTTAACTTTATAATTCTGATGTACATAAGTTTCATCAAGGTACACGATTTGCTTTCCTTCGTTTCGTTTTATATTTATTTCTCTCAAATACTTGTGCCTCCATGCAGAAATCTGGTATTTTTCTATAAGCATAGAACGTTCATTTTCATTGCTTTTAAAAGAAAATCCATTCTTAAGCATAATTTTTCGTAAAGTCTCACGGCTACCACTGAATCCTATTGCATCTTTTAATTCATTGTGAAGGCTTCTTAATGTTGGAACAATTTTTTTCACACAGTAAAATTCATTTACTTTATTCCGAATTGCACTTAAATCAAAATTATCTAAAGCAGACACTGTTGGTTGATGAGGTCGTTTTTTCCCAGGAGTGTCCCATTTTCCTTTATTAATTAATGCTTCATTTTTTATCCTTCTTAGTGTCCTTATACTTACATCTATAAAAGATTAAACACTTTGAAACAAAGATATGTTAAATGTATTTAAAAGCAAATAATGATAGACACATACATCAAAATAATTTAAATACCTATTCAACTATGAATGCAATTTATGTTTAATTTAGTTAAGTTTATGTGCATATTTAGCATGTATAACAATTACATGGTTTGATTAGTTTCATGAATTCTGTGAATTTCCTTGTTAAACAAAACATTCTTATGACATCATTGGATGTCAACAATAAAAACCAATACATCATAAAAAACCTATGTAAATATTATAGGAATACTATCAATCTATCTTAAATCAAAACAAGAAAAGAGACCTGTCATTGAAGAAATTTTTTGTAAGTACTGCGTTTCCGAATTCAGCATTTCTTGTTTTTCTAAAGTTTTTATTGCATTTATCTCCTCCATTATTGGTTGAATATCACCATCACAGTTATCTGAAATAGAGCAATATTTTATAAAAAATATCTGTTTAGTTAATTACAGAAAATTAAAACGAAAGTATCAAAATTATAATACAAAACTAACCTAAAAAAGATACAACTTTATCTAATCGTTGTAATTTCTCCATGAAATTTTTATTTAATTCAGTTTTCACTTCAGTAAACTTGTCAATCATGATGGAAAGAAGTTTCCTCGATGAACTTTTTATCGGCTTCGACATAATTTTTAACCAAAAACACAAGTTCAAATTCGGAAAAACAACAAAATTCAATATTCTTGAATTGTCTAACGTAGTGTCAAACTGACAGTTCTATGTTGTTGCCATATGAAAACGGAAAAATAGGTGGTGTCACGTTTCGCTTGCCAAACTCTAGGTTACATGCAAACGTTTATTTTATTTGACAAATATTTAAAAATATAGGAGGTGTAAAAATGGAGTATATATTTTAAATTTCTAGGTGTAAACAGCCCTATAACGCGCATGCGCAATATCGATTGTGTGCAGATTACATCGAACCGCGAAATACATTAATTTAATTTAATTATTTACCAATATCTTAATGATAGTCGATGCTGAAAATGTCCACTTCCTCTCTGAAGACTGACCTAAGCATGCTCTTTTCAATGCCGGTGCATGCACGCGCAAAACACATCACATTTCACACAAAACTAAACACAATCTTCACTAAACTAAACTTCACACTCAAGACGAACACTCTAGTATCTTATTAACAAAAATTCAATTAAAAGTGCACTAGAACAAAACAAAAATCGACAAAAAAAGACGCTTCGCAGCGGTGCGTCGGCGGCGATGCGCAACAACACTCTAGCGCAAAAGGTCGACGGCGACTGATCGGCCGGAAAATATCGACAGAATAATGAAGCCGCCTGGCGGCTGGCGGGCGGGTGGGGCTTTGATATCGAGGGACGAACTCGGTTCACATTTTTTTTTCGTCTTTTGATATCACGCATTTTTTAATGTTCTTTTTAAATGCTATTTTAATAACAAATTCCTCAATGATTTTAAAACAAAGTTCATTTGTGTTAATGATGAATCGCTGGAAGATTTGTGAATTTTAATTAAGGATCCCGTTGTTAAAGGAGTATTACCCCATTCAAACAATTTTTTTGGAGAACTGCTCTTTTAAAATAACGTAGGTTAATGTTAGACTGATCTCTCTACAATAATTTAGGAAATTTTACACTCGGTTTCTTAATTGAGAATTTCAAGTTAAACGTCTCAAACTAACATCACTTAGTTTTCGTTTCCGATTTTAGTTTTTTGATGATCAGTTGATAGCAGTTTGATAAAACTAGGACTATTTGACTTGTGAAATTAAAAAAAAAGCTTAGGTTATTGAGAATAAGCAGTAGGAATTTTCTACTTTTTTCAAATCAGAAACCGGCTGTTAGTCTGTAAATCGATTTAAGCATTTTGACTGCCTTGTTTATTGATTGTCTGGTAAAATTTGCATGAAAGCAGTCTTATAAATCACAAACTAGTTTATTTCGTTTTTAGAAATGAAGAAGTCAATGACCGATTAAAAACTTTTCCTTAGTGCGTCCCAAAAACAGCTGACTCAGGGTTGAAAACACTCATTCTGTTTCAAAAACTTTGTGATTTAACATCTCCGAAACTATTTGACCTAGACTTATAATTTTTTTTACATCATATTAAAGACAAATAGTACTCTCCGGGAACCTCGGGAGTGTCGGTCGTTTCATCGAGTATATTGATATCGTAAAAACAGTAGTGTTTATTCGATATCAGTTTTCCGAAATATCGTGGCATCCCTAGGTATGTAAGCGAAACGTCAAAGTTAGTCGATTCCGAATCCCTTACTCGTTTTTAACGTTTTACGTGTTTCTCAAGCATATTTCGCAAATATACATTTTCACCATATACTTAAATATCAGTTACAGAACCTAAAAACTTCAACATGGAAGGCAAAACAACAAAAATGCCCAAGGTGGCTAAAGTACGTATTGTTTATTTACCAGACCTCATTAAACCTATTTACCAATTAAATATACTATATATGCCTATACCTATTTTAATCAAAGTTTACAATTGTGCTGTTTAAATTTGCAGGTAAAAAATAAAGCTCCAGCTGAAATTCAAATCACAGCTGAACAACTGCTTAGGGAAGCCAAAGAAAGAGATCTTGAAATATTACCACCACCTCCTAAACAGAAAATCTCTGATCCGGAAGAACTCAGAGATTATCAACATCGGAAGAGAAAAGCTTTTGAAGATAATATCCGGAAGAACAGAATGGTGATATTAACTTATTAAATTAACAGATGAATGATGTCAATATACATTACATATAATCACTCATAGTTTTTAATTATAATTTTATAGGTAATTGGAAATTGGCTTAAGTATGCCCAGTGGGAAGAATCACAAAAACAAGTACAAAGAGCTCGATCTATTTATGAAAGAGCACTGGATGTTGACCACAGAAATGTCACCCTTTGGTGAGTTAAAACTTTGCATTAGTATTGAAATCTCTTCTCTATTGTGCAGCCTTTATAGAGTTAGTTGTTCTAATGACTCACAAGTCAGGCCATTTAATTTTCGGTAATTTTGACCTGAACTGAATAAATATTGAAATAATGGACTTCTAAATAAATGTGTCATTTGATGAGCAGACTATGATTGAATAATACTGCATATTTATTTATTACTAGCTGTGCCCGCGACTTCGTCTGCGTGGGAAGTATTTTGGTAGAATTCATTTTTGCTATGAATACAGACGAATCGAATAAGATCAATGGACCATAAACCTACACGCGGGCTTAATGCGGATCGGTGGGTGTTAACGTTGCTGGTGCAGCCAGAACTAACGGCTTAGCGTGCATTATGCTATGTTGTGCACAGTGCTCAAGATAATAATGTTTTGGTCACCCATCTGTAAACGGTCCTTACGAATGTTATTTTTCTATTTGTTCTCGTGTCTCATGCTCTGGTTGTCGCTTGTGTCTGAGCATTTTATTCGTACCTTTAAACGGTCCTTCTTTTGTTTTTGATCTTTTTAAATTATTATTATTTGTCTAGTTGTATGCACAATCGGCTATTTATTGTTCTATTTTTCATGTAATGCTAGTTTGCCTGGAAAAAATCGCTGGCTAGCGATGAGTTTGTCGTTTGTACTTATTTATGTAAAATAAGTATTCATGTATGTCCTTGTTGTGCAGTATTTATTTACTTATTTAACTGTAATTTAAACCGAATGCGCTAACCCACTACATCATCAGACCCCTTATACCTGAGCTATACTAATATTATAAAGAGGAACGATTTGGTTGTTTGTTTGTATGCATCGAATTTGCTTCCATACTACTGGACTGATAGTTGCAGAGCGATTCCGACCTACGGGAAGCTACATCAGACGCGCATGTCATAGGCTATAATTTTGCGGCAAAGTCGTGGGAAAACAGCTAGTTCATTATACCCTGTGAAAACTTATCTGCGGTACGCCTGTGGAGTATGAAGTCAACACGGGTTGGCGATAATCGAAACTACTTTCTCGATTTCTATTGTGCAAACTGCGAGCTCTTTCAGAGACCAAGCGCATTTCCCTATCAAAAGAAGTTTTATACTCATACCATACTGCATGTATGTAAATGGTTCAGATTCAACTTTATAGTGCATGAGCCTCGCTATGGGCAGTTAAATACGCTTCGCGTTTTTCAGGTGTCTCCCGAGACTGAGCGCTTTCTGTCTGATCTCTTTCTTTGTCTATAAAAGTCGGTCAGTACATGTCTGACGGAAGATACGTGGAGTTTTATTTATTGATATAAAAAAATATATACATATTTTAATTTCGACTTTCCACACTCGAAGGAAATCGTCTACTAACATACTTCCGTGAGGTGCTTAACTGAGCTTCTGTCAGATTTGAACGGCCCTCATCATCATCATCATTAGGCCTTTTACGTCACCAACTGCAGGAGCTTAGGCCTTCCATGTGGATGGTTAAAGAGGATGGGCCACGACCCTCCATGCTGGCCCAACGTGGATTGGAGGATATTAACGACTGCAAATACAACCGGGACCAATCGCTTTACGTGCTTTCCGAAGCTTGGAGTTGCTTGAGATAATATTTTTTGGTTATCCATCCTGTGCTCGACTTTTGCGAAAGATGCTTAACAACTACAATCGCGGGCCATGGCACTTATTCACTTCGCCACTGAGCTACTCTGAACCGACCCTCAGACTCGCGTAATATATATAATATTACGCGAGTCATTGGTCACAACACTCATATGAGTGTTGTGACCAATGAATAAAGCATTGTTTCCAGCGAAGACTGAAAATACCAACTTTGAAGTACGTATCTACAGCAATTTGTATGTTAAAAAAAAAACAAAAAGAGTATTAACATAAAAAAAATAGCAAAAAGAGAAAAAAATATATAACTCGAGTTGACTTTACGTTCTTAACTTCAGTTGACGTGAATCTAAGTTTTTTAACGTCGTGGAAAAACTTCTGACATTGTCTCTGTTACCTGGCAAGCTACAGGGGTGAGTAGGATTCTCCTCCGTGAACCCGACACTGAGCTGCCCGGTGGTTCCCCAGAGGCCTACCCACCAAAACCCGTACTCTACACCTTCTCATGGGAAATGAAAACCGTCAAGCTATGGCCGAGTCACCAGGACACTCAAGTATTGGACCAGATGGAAAATTGGAGAGACTCGGGTAAATCGAGTGCCTCTCTCAGACAGACGAAACCGTGCAATGCGGGAGCGGCTACCAATCACCTCCACTGGCCCCGACGACGACGTGAACCTAATCTGATAAAAATATGCGTTCACTGTAAACTACTAGAGGTTTAATTGCATCATCAGAAGGCTCTCTCCGCTTGTTCTCCTACTCGCGTGATCGTATACCACATGTCCATTATAAACTGAACCCTATTTAATATGATTGGCCATATATAAATGAGGTCAACTTACTTCGGAGTTGTCAAAATTTTGGAATCTTATTTTTTTATTTGTCATCATACAAATTATCATTTTATAGACAATATTAATTCGTAGCTCGGTGGCGCTACGGCTATGCGCCGCTGCGCACGATCGTTATTGCTAAGCAATTTTCGCAAGAGTTGTTCACGGGATGGGTGACCAAAAATTATTAAACAAAGGCCCGAGGCCCTGCAGTTTGGCTGTGAAAGAGTTAACGATGATGATCAATATATCAAAGACAAAAATTTAATAAAACAGTTAATATTTCATTGCAATTTTGGCGACCACGTCACTTCAAATTGACATAACTTTTTTATTTGTGAACCGATTGAAATAAATTTTATACTAAATGTTAACGGAAGAATGCCGCAATATAATAGTGAAAACTGCATTTAAATCGGTTTAGCCGTTTCTGAGTTTATCGTGCACAAACGCACAGACAAACAGACAAACCGACAAACAGACAAAAAATTTAAAAATCATTGTTTTGTGTTCTATTACTCTTATAAACGTCCCTCATAACAGTTTTTTTCATATATCTTCAATGTACAGACATCGATCGGTTACGTTTTTATTATAGTATAGATTAAATTGAACCCTGTCTGCTTTTTACATTCTATATATACTTATTAACAACCTGTTGCAGGTTAAAATATACTGAAATGGAAATGAGGAATAGACAGGTGAACCATGCTCGTAATTTATGGGATAGAGCAGTAACCATACTACCCAGAGTTTCTCAATTCTGGTATAAATATACCTATATGGAAGAAATGTTAGAAAATGTAGCAGGAGCTAGACAAGTAAGTGTGAAATTGTATGTTTGTTGTTAAATATATATAATAAAAATTTTATATTTAATCAGTGTAATGTATTTGTAAATAAAATATTTATTAAAATAGTGTAAAGTTGTTATTCCTTTATTGATTATTTTTATCTATAGGTTTTTGAGCGCTGGATGGAGTGGCAGCCAGATGAACAAGCTTGGCAGACTTATATAAATTTTGAATTAAGATACAAAGAATTAGATAGAGCTAGACAAATATATGAAAGGTTTGTCATGGTACATCCTGATGTCAAAAATTGGATTAAATATGCAAAATTTGAAGAGAATCATGGGTTCATCAATGGCTCCAGAAAGGTGTATGAAAGAGCTGTTGAATTTTTTGGAGATGAAGAACTTGATGAAAGGCTTTTTATAGCTTTTGCAAAATTTGAAGAAAATCAAAAAGAACATGACCGTGCTAGAGTTATTTATAAGTATGCCTTAGATCATATTCCTAAAGACAGAAACAAAGAGTTGTACAAAGCCTACACAATACATGAAAAGAAGTATGGTGATCGGTCTGGCATTGAAGATGTCATAGTCAACAAACGCAAGTACATGTATGAACAAGAAGTTATAGAGAACCCTACAAATTATGATGCCTGGTTTGATTATATCAGACTAGTAGAAAACGAGGGTAATTTAGACGATATCAGAGACACTTATGAAAGAGCCATAGCAAATGTACCACCCTCTAAAGACAAACAATTCTGGAGGAGGTATATTTACTTGTGGATCAACTATGCTCTATATGAAGAATTGGAAGCGGAAGACATTGAACGCACACGGCAAGTTTATAGAACATGTTTAGAGTTAATACCACATAAAATATTCACATTCTCTAAAATATGGCTTATGTATGCACAGTTTGAAGTAAGATGTAAAGACTTAAAACAAGCAAGGAAGACTTTAGGATTGGCACTAGGCATGTGCCCAAAAGATAAACTTTATAGAGGTTACATAGATTTAGAAATTCAACTCAGAGAATTTGACAGATGCAGAATACTATATCAAAAGTTCCTAGAGTATGGCCCTGAAAATTGTATTACTTGGATAAAATTTGGTGAACTTGAAACATTATTAGGAGATATTGATAGGGCAAGAGCAATTTATGAAATAGCTGTAAATCAACCAAGATTGGATATGCCTGAATTGCTCTGGAAAAGTTATATAGACTTTGAAGTATCACAAGGGGAAACTGAGAAAGCTAGACAACTTTATGAAAGGTTGCTGGAAAGAACAGTGCATGTAAAAGTATGGCTTTCCTATGCAAAATTTGAACTGAATGCTGAAAATCCTGACAATATAAATGTTGAATTAGCCAGACGTGTATATGAGCGGGCCAATGACAACCTCAGAAATGCAGGTGAAAAAGAATCAAGAGTTCTTCTACTTGAGGCTTGGAAAGACTTTGAAACTGGAATTGGTGATGAAATGCAACTTGAAAAGGTATTAGCTAAGATGCCAAGAAGAGTTAAAAAGAGGCAGAAAATAGTAAGCGACGAAGGTATAGAAGAAGGTTGGGAAGAAGTCTTTGATTACATATTTCCAGAAGATGAAATGGTTAGACCAAATCTCAAATTACTGGCAAGAGCAAAACAATGGAGAAAACAACAAGAAACATCTGAAACAGATGAAGATTCAATTGAAACAAATGAAAAATAAAGTTTTACATTAATGATCTAATAAAATAAACATAATAAACATATTTTGTCTTAATTTCATTATGTAATTTCTTAAATAATATAAATTCCATAGGATCATTTACTCTATAAATAAAGAAAAAGATAAGTATAATACAATATATACAAGTTTATTAATCTTAGTCTACATCTTCAGGGCGAACTGGGTGTGTAACAGGTATCACAGACTTTTTGTTAACATCTCTTGAACAAGCCTTTCTCATATCTGAAATAAATAAAAAAATGATGGTCAGTTGCACAATCGTCCATTAAGGTTTGACTCTTTTAAGCTCTAATAAATGTTAAATTTGTATGGGTAATGTTGCTTTAAACTAATGACAATTTTAATCGATGTTTGTGCAACTGGCTGTTATTTGAGGTGATTTTGAAAAGACAAATTATTTATTAATGAGTAGACTAGATGTAAGAGTAACATGCCTATTTTTATAAATTAAATAAAAAGATACATTGAAACTTAGACAAAGAAATTCTATTATTAGAGAAATTCTATTAAGGAGAGCGAAATGCTTTACTGATTAAAAGAAAAAAACTGGAAGGTGATGAAAGAAGCTGGTTAAGATAATAAATTATTATAGTATAAATAGTATTCAAGTTACAACTCACCATAAGCATCTTCATCAGGATCTCCTGAATAATATTCTAAGACAGTCCGATAGACTATATAACCTAGATTCTTATACATATTTATAGCTACTTTGTTGCTCACCCTTACAAATAAATCGACAAAGTATGCTTTCTTCCTGTAATTCAAGGAATTATTACAAATAACAAATCTTAAACTTATCAATTAGTGTCAACCAAAATGATGTTAATACTAACTTTTCTGACACATCTTCTAGAATATTCATCAATGTAGCAGCAAGACCAAGCCTTCTATAATCTGGACTAACAGTAAGAGCTGTGACGTGACCATGCCAATTATCACCATGACCCTCTGCTTTGCCCATTACTAAAAATAACACAACATTTTACAATAAAAATTCAATATCACAAGAAATCTATGGTATCTATTCATTTTTAAATAAAATAGGAATAAAGCAACTTTTGCCAAATATGTAAAAAAACACTCACTATAACCCATTATTTCTCCACTTGGCGATTCAGCTACTTGAAAATACTCCGGCCAGTGAGCCAAATATTGTGTATAAAATGATAATCCATAGGTTTCTGTAAGAGGATCCAAATTCCTGAAAAACCATATAATTCATGAAATGCTAACCTTATCCGTACAGCAAACAGTATTTATATGAAAACTTACACATTGTTGAACTTGAGCATGTCTTCACAAGTAAAGGGTCTAATCGTTGTCATTATTTTAAATTTAAATTAGACAGATAATGTTTGATCAAGAAATCCTCTAAATTTTTGTTTCAAAACCTCAAAACAAAACAAACCAAAAATTCTAGGGATGTCGATCTGAAATTGAAGAAAAAAAATAAAATCGTTACGTTAGGAAGTATTAAAAAAAAAATTAGTTCCCAAAATCAAGCTAGATGTCGCTACGGTACTTTCTTTATTTCTCCATGACAAACCTTCCGGTTTTCTGTCATAGATAAAGTAAATTAATTATTAAAACTCAAAACATTTTTCGTATTTGTATTGACATCTAAGTTTCGAACTTTGCTAATTACAGTTTTTTAATATGTTAGTTAAAAGGAACGGAGACGACTATCTTTAGTCCATTCATTTCTAGCAAAAATCAACTTTTGCTAGAGTCGCCATCTAGTGAGGTGCTTTTATTTTCTTAAAATTCTTCCTCATAATGAGGAAGTGTTTTGGGAACTAATGTTTTTTTTAATAGTTCCTCATTGTTTTATTAATCAATTTCAAGCACTACATCGATATATCACGGTAGAATATGATAATAATAACCATTAAAATTCTACAATTGGCTACGTAAATTTTCTAGGGAATGTTTTCTAAACTAAAACATTTCTATAATCACATTAAACCACTACTTGATTAATTTTTCTTAAAAAAGTATTATTTATTAGAGGACAAACAGTCACGTGACCTTTTTATTAAACATAAGTTGGATTCGCAATAAAGAGGTCAAGTTACGCGTCGGTTCTTGTAATCCATAAATTACAAATCGCAAGTTAATTTTACAATTATAAAACTTAGTTGGATTTATATTCTACAATTTGTAATTATAGATTTTAAAATGAGATATTTTGGCACTACAAGGTATTTTCATAATTTGATAGATGATGTATTATTAAGCCCACATAGACGAATCTTAATTCGTTCACTAACTTATCCTAAAAATAAGATTTATAAATAATTTCGCAACAAAAAACTGCTTAACAACAGCAAAATATAATGAGGAAGTATTAAAAAAAATAAAGAAACTACAAAAATTTATGTCACTAGATGGCAGCAAATTGTTAGATCTAAACGTCAATTCATGACGTTAAACCGAAGAGAATAGAATTGTCAATGAAATGTTATGGATCTGATCTACTTCCGACATTGGCAGAATAGTCGACACCGGCTCTATTTTCAATAAAAAATAGAATAGAATAACTTTTACATGTAGAAATTTATTTATTCACTTGACATTGGCAGAATTGTGCGAAATGCGCAGATAAGCCATTAAAAAAAGAAGAAGAAAAAGAACTCTGAATAATCTCGAGTTGAATTTAACTGGTTCAAGTTATGCAAACGCAACTCGATTAATACAAAGTAATCTTTGAATAAATTTCTTTTTTATCTGTATAGCAAAACTACATTAAGTCTCAATAATATTTTTATATTATGTATGGTGAATGGATAAATAGGGTTTATTAATCAGTAACAAAAGTCGTAAAAACCGTTTATTATCTCTATACTTACCCGATATGTATCAAATATACTAAAAAGTTTTCATACAAAATAACATGACTTCTGGCTTAAATGACGTTTGTGCAAAGTGTAACGTGCAAATAACTTGTGCTTTCGATATTAAGACTTTAAAAAAACTATGATCATTTATTAAATCTTATATTCATAATTAAATCTTCTTAATAAACATTCAGCAATCAAGAAACGTCTGTTCTACACGAACAGTAAGGTACGTACAGTTATTATGCTATTGCTATTGATCTTGCATGTCGACGGCGGACATCGAGCCATGTGTTGAGTTAATTCATACGGTGGGTATGTGCTTTTTGGTCCTTACAATAATATAGTTAATAATAGATTAACTTCCTAGACAACCTACTCTAGAAATCAGTTTAATGAAATATATTATTAACTAAGTACCTAGAGTAGTAATTCTCTCTTACAATCTCTGCAGTGGTGTCGTGTGCGTTAGGTCATTACGTTACGTCCTCAAATATAGTATAGTTGAAATTAAAAAAGCAGCCCTTGCTAAGTTTCTTACCGACTCTTGTCAGTACAAGATTTCCCGCCTTAGTTTTGCGAACCATTGGCAAAGTTTTCAATTATCGCAGGGAATATGTAACAGCCTAGACTGAATTGATTTTGAAATTTATATTAATATCATACGTTTTGGATGCATGATGACACATACAAATACAAGCTGACTTCTGCGCTCCGCTTTTTGTCTTTAATTCCAAACCTGAATTCGGATGAAAGTTAACTTACGATCAACCAATAGTTGGCCATCACTAACGTTGACATATAAACAAAACTTCGTTCCTTTACACGTAACATAATAAACAACTTAAGCTTACTATTAAAATAAATTAAAATTAATTTGAAAGTTAGATATTATAACAAACACAAAACGATGTCATATTTATTAGTTTCGATACTCAATTTACTTTTATTACGTCAGAAATTTGCATGAATATCATAAACAAAATCCAAACATCGCGGGAGGCATCTAGTATGATTGCAAGAACTAATTTTTATTTTTTAAATACTTCCTCATTGCCACGGTCATGGTTCGCTTTATTGTAATATCATTGATACGCGCGATGCGCGTACTATCACTTGCGGAATACGAAATAACAGCTTATCGATACAAAATCAACCGTCAAAATAGAGGTCAGTGGAGATCGCCTACATTGACATTTCAAAATTGGTAACCAGTGATTTTAACAGAATTGCTCACTTTTTTACGACTACGACTACGACTTTAGATTGTCGGTTAAGTTGGCGAATACGCCTGGCCCTTGAGCCCAGCCCCTTATCCTGTAACTTTGAGGACAACTGAAATAAATGAGAAAGTATTTAAAAAAAATAGTTACCGAAATAAAACTAGATGTCGCTACGGTACGTTCTTGATTTCTCCATGACAACTCTTCCGGTTTTCTTTCGTGTATATAAGTAAATTAGTTTTCGAAACTCAATAAACAACTCATATTCTATTTGTTCTTTTTCCTATTTCTATTGATATCTAAGTTTCAGATTATAAAGGAACGGAAATGAAGGTGTTTGGTCCATTCGTTTCCTGCAAAAATCAACTTTTGCTAGAGTCGCCATCTAATGGAGGTGTTTTTAGCGCTTTCGTTTTTTTTAATACTTCCTTATTTTTCACAGAGGTCTGTGGGCAAGCGTTCATACGAATAATAAGTGATTTTGCTGTCCGTTAAATTAGCGTATAGTCTTGCTGATCTCCTATATGCCTCCCACCGATGTCCCACCGTGTGGAGTTCTTTTACTCTTTGGTCGCTTTACCTTCTTGATCCTAGTGCAATAGTGCTTTTTTTTAATACTGGTATCATTATTTTTGAGAGTTGCCATCTCAAAAATAACATTTCAAAATGCAAGAAATGTTATCATCCTATTCCTTTTAACACATGTCGAAAAGTATATTTATTACTCTTTTTACAAGCCAAAGCTCAAGTGGAGCGATCTATGGGCTTCTTGCAGTTTACCAACACGACAATGGCCGAATTGTCCGTATAGGATATTTTTTATTGGCCCATACATCCCAACCTGCCATGTCTTTGGTTTTAAAAATGGCGTATACAAGCTTTTTGTTTGCCGGTTTACGCTGTTAAATAGTTTCCAAGACCTCGCGCGTGCTCGATTGAGTCTTAAAACGTCGTGAATATGAAATTTAACTACATGTGTAGGTATATAATGAACACTTTAGATTCCGTGAACGAATTTTTGTAACGTTATGGTGAATTAGAATGGTGCCTGTGGCTTGTCAATCTTGCACGTCGTCAGATTACCCTTTCGTAACGTAAATACACCTAGCAAGCGTTTTATATTTCAGATATGACAGCATTGCAAACCAGTAGATAATGGAGAGTTCAGAAGATGATCCGGGCACCGCGACGATCGCTTCCCGCCGAGCATCGGCGCGGGAAAAGGACATCGGACAGGCCGAGGACGGCAACGCAACTGGTAGTACGCTACAAGAACCGACCGAGGCTCGATCGCCTTGTCGAACACCCGCGATGTCTGAAGAGAATTTTGATGGCGATAGCGTACCGTCGCCATCTACGCAAGATGTCAACACCAGCACGGAGGCGATCTTGGACATGATCGATGAGTTTGTTGATGGACCAGGAGCGCCGAAAAGAGTGTTGTTTACTTCAAATGATGATCATTTTGGAAGTCAATCTGAGAAAGTGGATGAACGAATAATTGCTCATGGGTCGTCTATAAACGTTTCTCAAGAAGATAAACCGCCACCTACGATTGCGTCCGATGCCATAAGTGCCAAAAGTGAAATTAAGCCCCATGCGAGCGAAAACGCCATAACTCCAGAGGTGTCATCACAAAATAATATTTTGGCAGTTGAAAATACTGATAATGTGGAACAATCTCAAAAGTGTTTATCTGAGTCCATATCATCTGTTATAGAACCTCAAGCTATTAGTGAATGTCCACCTCCCTGTAATATTCCTTCCAGCAGTATAATAGAAACTGTGCAAATTACTTCTGCTGTCAGTGAGTGTGAAAAACAAGAACGGACAGTGAAGTGTGTGACATCTAGTGACACTCGTAATGATGTAACTATAGAAAGTGCAGAATCTACATCAAGTGATATTAATTTAAATGAAGAGAAAGTGGTAATAGAACAGTCTACACGGTCACCTCTCAAGAGGCGTCTTGTACGTCCTGGCCCAAGTGACCGTAGACCTGATTCTACTGTGTCATCAACTGTTGACATCCACACAGAGCAGACAAGTAGTGACAGCATCACTAAAGATGTTTCCAGTTCATCAGATGCTGTGCCCTCTGTACATGGTAATGTAAAACCTGAAGAGATTAGAAACATAAGTGAAATTAGTATCTGCAAAGCGGAAACTTCTATGAGTCCTCCAAAAAAAATTAAACTTATTAGACAAAAAAATTCTAGCCCTTTGAGAAATCAAGAAAATTCTCAAACTAAACCAGATATTGTGTTACAACAACAGCAATGCCAGTCAACATCTACAGATAGCTCTTTACAAAATATAAATGAATCTGCTTCTTATTTGAGCTCAATTAGTTCAAGTCAGCAGGCTATAGAAAAGAATCTTGTTTCAAACAATTCAATTGGCAAAGAAACCCCTTGCGTAAACACAGAAGCAGTTCCCCCTGCTTCTAATGGTAGTGATGTGGAAAAAATCAGTGAAAGTTCTATAGAAAATATTACTCAAAAAGAGAGTGAAATAAAAATTGATGAAAAAGTATCCCCATCAAACTTAGTCAATGTGTTTGCTTCAAAATCATCTGAGAAAACTATTGATGTTGAGGAACAGCAATCATCTAGCAGCACCCAAATCGTCAATGTTGAAAATATTTCTGAATCTCCAAAATCAATACCAAAACTTACAATAAAAATTGGAAATAAATCAAGTGAAGAACAAAAATCTCCAGTACCTAAATTAACTATAAAACCCATTAAACCACCATTAGAAATTGATAAAACAGAAAATGACCAAATTCCTAATGTGACAAAACTTAATATTAAACCTGTTTTAAAACCTGAAAATATCAATGATGAATCATCAGATCATACAAGTGAAAACAAAGCTGTTAGCAGTAGTGATCAAATACCAAGTGTCACTAAAATAAATATCAAACCTCTTATAAAACCACCTGAAAAAATAAATGATTTGCATCGTAAATCTAGCAGCAGTGAAATTTCTGAGTCAGAATATTCTGAAAATGATGAAAGCACAAGTACCTCTGATCAAGGATCATCTGATGTAGTACCAAAAGTTACCATAAAGCTAGGGAAACCAGGCACACAGTCTGAGGGGCAGTTTTACACAGAACAACAAAATATACCTAAACTCACTATCAAGGGCTTACAGCAATCTGAAAAAGAAGAGTCAGAATCTAAACTAAAGTTAATCATTAGTCAACCTGAGGAAAAACATTCTGAAAAGATACCAAAATTGACTATCAAAACTGTGACCAAATGTGAAAATCAGCCCTTAAGCCCAAAACTTACAATAAAGACTGTAAAACTTCCTGAAAATGCTGGTAAAGAAAGTAGTACAGAAAATCCTGAAACACCACAAATCCCGAAGCTAAAAATTACTACAGAGTGTTTTACAACCAGTGCGGAATTCAAAGATACTCATGTGCCTAAAATTACAATTAAACCTGTAACAAAATCTGATGGTGATATCAAATCTAGTAAGAAAACAGGTGTTGTCTGTGATAGCCCTGAACATATCCCATCAGTAACAAAATTAAATATAAAACCTATTGTGAGACCTCCAGAAAGTGGGGAAACACCAGAGGTTTTGGAAGAAAAAGTTCCTGTAGTTTCAAAATTAAATATAAAGCCAATAATAAAGCCTAAAGATAAAGAATTAGATAGCATAGAAGATGTACCTAAAATTACAAAATTGAATATTAAACCTTTAAGGAATCCTGAAGAAGATTCTTCAGAAGAAAAAGACTGTGATGAATTGAATGCTGACATTGAGAAAAATAGTATACCTGTTGTTTCTAAACTTAATATTAAGCCTATAGTTAAGCCTCTTGAAGAAGATGCCCTAAAAGATTCTGAAAATCAATCATCAGAAACTGGCAACTCTAGTGATGATAATGGTGACCACATACCGATAGTAACTAAGTTAAATATCAAGCCAATTCTAAAACCAAATGAAGTACCAGAAAGTTCTAAACATAAAAATATAAATGAAGAAGGTACTCCAACTGTGACAAAATTAACTATCAAGCCTATAATTAAACCAGATGAAAGCAAATCACCTGCTTCACCTAAAAAGGATAATATAAAAAGTGGTGATTTGAGGAATGCTTCAATTCCTGTTGTAACAAAGTTAAATATTAAACCAGTCATTAATCCTAATGAAACAGAATTAAGTAAAAGCAATGAATGCGAAGACAAGTCTGTGAAGAATCCACCATTAGTTATGAAAATCAATATGAAAGCAGTTGCTGAAACTTCTCATGAAAATATTCACACTGATAAGAAACTAAATCACATTGATGATTATCATGAACACCTACACAATAATATCAGTGAAGATTCTCACAAAACGAAAATTATTGTGAAACCAATAATTACACCATCAAGCCCAATCATGGACAAGGTTATTGAGAAAGCAGTTTTGGAAAAGTCTAATTTAACTAAGGAGGAAAATACAGCAGCACTTTCATGTACAAAAGAAGAGAATTATGAAATCAACTTGTTGCACAAAGAAGAAGTTAAACATAATTGTGTTGCTGAAGAGTCAAAAAAAAGTAATATTGATAATATTTGTAATTCAACTGAACAACCTTCAGTAGACAATAACAAAGACATTGTCACTGCTTCTATAAGCAGCTCATTATTAAAATCTGAAGTAATAAATAGTGAAACTAGCACCAATAGCAACAAATCAAAAAATATTCAGGAAAGTCAGCTCAGTAATGAAAATATTGTGAGTGTTAGTTTAGCTCCAGTAATTACTAATGAAGCAACTTCTCCTCAATCATTAGAAATAAATAAAATTAGCAAACCATCTTCTTCAGTTAAAAACTGCACTTTACTAAAAAAGCTTTTAGAGAGTGATAGCTTAAATGATTTATCTGAGTCACAAAAAATGTCAGGGGCTTGCACTCCTATTTCAGCAATTAGTAAAGAATCAATAGAGTGCGAACAATTTGATTCTGGTCATAGTAGTATGGAAAAAGTTAATGATTTTGAATCCAGAGGAAAGGCTAGAAGTAGAAGTTCCAGTCCAGACAAGTTAAAAGATGTTCAACCTGTGTCAATAAAAGTTCGTCCTATCCAAGAGCTTTATAAGGATGCAAATGAAAGTGCAACAAAACCCCTAGAAATTAATGTATCTGAAAAGATAACAAACCAGAGCTCAGGTCAAGATTCTCCCAGAATAATATTAAAAATTAATAAGACTGATCATGGCCCATCAGCCAAAATAATAACTGAGGATATTATAAAAAATGACAGCTTACAGCAAAGTCCAGTATCTGAAATAGTTGCACAAAATATCAATGATAAGCCTAGCCTTAAAAAGACTGTAATTAATAGCAAAAGAAAACTAGGTTCTGATTCTAATACAAATGTGATGTTGGGTAAAAGGTTGAGAAGTTCCAGAATCGTTGATTCACAAAAGTCGCCTATTGTAAAACGAATTGTTGGACAAAAGCCTTCAAACACAGATTCACCTGTTGTTCAAAACAAGGAGTCTGAACTCTCTGTTTTGGAAACAAAGAGACTGAAATTAGGTAAACTTTTATCTAACAAATCTCTTACAATAACACCAGTTAGAACAAAAACGTCACCAGACAACAATCCACTAGAAAATAAACAAGGGGTAAAAATTCTTAACCACACTCTTGTAAATAATGAAAACTGTTCTAAAAACGGAAACTCAAAACTACACAGTATTTTATCAAACTTACAGAGTAAACAAATACAAGTATTACCTTTAAACGACCTCAATTGTTCTGATAAGAGTAAAACAGTTGTCCCAGAAGTGGAAAGTAATGCATCAACTGGTAGTTCAGACGTGGCTGAAAATCGTCATCTAGATGTGCAAGAGATGATAATCAACGAGAATGCTGACTTTCGCGATTTCATGGGCCCAGATGAGATGTCGCAAGATCCGTTAGAAGTGGAAACTCCTAAGACAGACCCTGAAAGTATTGAGGAAAGTCCAAAAATTCCTCTACCAAAGTATATCGAGTCAACACCTCAGCCTAAGAAACGCGGACGGCCGCGTAAATTGCCTCTGTCCGAGGAAGCGAAACCCAATCCTCTCTCGCTTCCTACTCCTGCGCTAGAGGAACGCCCTCAACGATCTCTGCGGTTATCAAGGTTGGTATAAATACTATTCTTCTTCTTCTTTTAATTAATGGCGTTGCCTTTGTGGATTTCGCCAGAATAAAGTGTTTCGCTCAGTTTAATTCTTATTTTAATATTTTACAAACTCTGCTTTTATGTGTGATAGAAGTGAAAGCTCAAGTTTAATTTAGAAATTATCACACACAGTAACATTTATGTCATACAGTACAAAACTTATAAATTCACATTAACATTCTTTTGTAATATGTGTAATTGTTATATATTGTGGTCATGGCAAATTTATCAAATATAATCATTGTATAATAGTAATAAATAAGCAAATTAATCCAGACAGACATCTCAACATCATAATGATCTTTACGAATTTTTCAATTATAATCCACAGAGAGCGGCCGGCTATTCTGGCTAAGCCAAGAGGTCGCGGTCGCGGACGTGGAAGGGGTCGCGGAGGTCGCGGCATGGTCAGACTAAGCGTCGATATTAGCGACCAGATGTTGACCCCGAGAGAACCCTGCGACGACGAAGCTGTGACCCACGAAGACGACGTGCCTTCAAGAACACCTGATCCTCTCGATACAACGTAAGACGTTCCTTTCACATGATAATTCGTACAGTGTGGTCTTTATAGAGTCTACATGGCGTCGTTTAGGGCAGTATTAATTGCAGGTTGTCTATACTAACATTAAAAAGGGGAAAGAATTCGTTGTTTGTTTGTTGCATCAAATAGGCTCAGAAACTACTGGACCTATTTTAAAAATTCTCACCTCTGCATAGCTACATCATACGGGGTTGATATAGGCTATAATTTACGCGTGCGAAGTCGCGGGTAAACAGCTAGTAATATATATATAGTGTGTAGGGTTTATGTTTTGTAACTACATACAATAAATAAATATTAGAGAACATGACATACATTGCTCAGATTTCAAGATAGCAGCTAAAGCCCCCGTATTATGGAGTTTCTGAGATAATGAATGTATCACAATATATAAAGGCTGTTTTCTACATTGACCCGACCGAGAATCAAACCCGGAACCCCAGAGATCCATTAAAATTGTCATTAGTTAAAAGCAATATTACTGATACCAATTTGACATTCATAATAGCTTAAACGTATCCTTAAACCTTAATGGACGTTTGTGCAACTGACCGTGAGTTGGAATAAGAAATTATAATATGTCAATTTGTTTGTTACAGTAAAGAAGAACCCCTGGACCCGACCAGTTCGCGCGTGAAGCTGCCGCGTATGACGGAAGCTCTCGACCGGCTACCCGGCGGCTCCACGCCGCTATCTAGTCGAGGCGACAACGATTTTAAGGTAAAAACAAAAAACTACTTAAAATTAATTATTAAATTAAATATGTTAAAAAATTCATCTCTGACGACTGATTCGCGTCATTAGTCTATCCGGATTTAAATAGAAATGGCTACAAATACTATTTCATTGTGGAATTAATTACTATGCATAACATTTCAATTCATTTTTCAAACTTAGTCTCTTATACAGAACTAAGATTGTGGTTTAATCTAAAATTTTGAAAAGATGTTAGATTTACAAATGAAATAAAAACATATACTGATTACTAATTTGTAATATTATCTAATATAATCCTCGAAAATACTGATCCAATCATGAAAATTCTTTCATCTACGAGAAGTTAGGTCATACGCGGGTTACATATATACAGGTTATTAATTATGCGGAGTCGCTGGAAAACAGCTTTAATATACCATAAAAAAATGTTCCTTTCACAGAATGTTATCCATTTCAAAATAAAATGGGTAAAACTCTTATGGTAATACAATATTCCTTGGAAAGAAATTGTATTAATTACATAGAAGTATATATTGCACGACACAACGCTTAAATAATATAAATAAGACTGTGTCCAATAGAAAAAAATACTTCTAAAACTCAAGAGCAGGCTTATCATCATCATCATCACCAGCCCTTTTACGTCCCCACTGCAGGGGCTCAGGCCTTCCTTATGAATGGTTAAGGAGGATGGGCCGTGACCATCCACGCTGGCCCAATGCGGATTGGAGAGTATTAACGACTGCAAATGCAGCCGGGACCTACGGCTTAACGTGCCTTCCGAAGCACGAAGTAGCTCGAGATAATAATTTTTTGGTCACCCATCACGTGACCCTTGCGAAAGTTGCTTAACGACAACGATAATTATATCCTGTAATATATTCCTTTATATATATAATTACTGTAATATATTGTAACATAAATCATAAGTTTATGATTTATATTACAAATTCGCAACTAAACACCAACCCAATAAATAGCATGGTTAAAATGGAGCAACATATAAAGATATTATTATTTATTTAAGTCGAATTTTGAGAAGGAATAAGTGGTGTTATACATTTGTGAATGTTAATTATGATGACAAATTTGTTGAATTAAATAGTGACAATACTTTCTTTTTGAATGGCAGGCCTGAATCTACAATTTTGTGTTGTTAAGTAAAATATATAAATATTTATTACATATATATTCTTAGACCATAAGCTGGAAGATTTTTTCTATTCTATTTACCATAGTTTATCTAATTCAATTTTAGTTGGGTTTAAAAATATTTTTATTACAGCATAAAAATAATTATATGGCAATAACAAATGAGATTTGGCGAAATATATATATGTTCATAACAAAAAATGCTTAAAATATCCATTAGACCCAAGTACTCTGAGATAGAACCCGAATGTAGTGGATTCGATTTCACAGTCCGGGCGACTACTCTAACCACTGAGCTACCTTACAGGGCTGCCGATTTTTTAAAGCACTTGTTACTTTTCGCTAGTAGTGAGCGTCTTTCATCAATGTTGCCTGAACATCCACCCAAACAGCCGAAATCATAATTTTTTACAAATATTTCAAGCTTTCAATTAAGCTTCACTACGTAACAGTTTTGTAGAAAATGTATAAAATCGTGACGTCACGTTACATGTAAATTCAATGTATTGCCGCAATTTATTATCTACGTAAAAATATAAACAATTCGTGTTTAATATTCTTAATAATCTGCCTGACACATAGATGAAAAAAGTATAATCATTCATTACAAACTTTTAATGAATATTAAATGAGTAGTTATCAATAACAGCTATAGTTAATCGCAAAAAATACAAATATTACACGTAAAAGAAAAAGATCATCACCATGGTAAAAAACGAATTGTAATTATCAAAATATAAAAGAACAATTTATTTCATACCAAATTTAGTTATGGTCGATTCCTTTGTTATATCGTGATTTGTGTGTTGTTTTATGTGTATTTACTACTTATCTCAAGTGTAAATATGGACTGTAGACTATAATGTCTATGAAAATCTTGACTCCCCCCCCTCTAAATCAGAGCCTGTTAAATGAATATCCATTGTTGTCAAAGATATCTAGTTTGACTTATCCCATTATAGATATTGGAGGACAGCCTGGCAGGGCTGGAGGAGGGCGAGACTCCCCGCAGTAGGGGGCGCGGGTGGCGCGGGCGCGGGCGGGCCCGCACGCCGGGGCGGTCGCCGCGAGCGCGGGGCCGCGGCCGGGGCGGGGGCCGGGGCGCCATGTATATGAAGGTACGTCACTTCCTGTAAACTCTCTAACGTATTTTAGGGAAATCACGAATGTGGGGAAATTCCGAAAATTACATTAAACAAACAATATGTTTGTTCTATCTAATTTAGAGTTTCTTCATGTAAATATTAAAAGTTTTTTATTTATCAGCTTTACAAACAGTTGATTAAAAAACAATACCTGGTTTGGTGGTAATTCGTCATTTTCGGATTTTCCCTGCTTTCGGTAATACCCCAAATCACTATATTTCGTTTCTTTGGTTACAAATTCAGGCTTCTAAATATCCGTTTACCAAATTTCATCAAAATCTGTTCAGTAGATTTGCGTGAAAGAGTAACAAACATACGTTAACTGAGTATTTGCATCCACACAAATTTTCGTATTTATAATATTGGTAGTAAATACAAAAGCATCTGTGTTTGTCTGTTTTACACATTTACTGAATCTGCTCAGTGAGTCGGTTCAGGAAAATGATGCACTGATTCGAATATCAAAGTTCGTTCCGAATGGATCAGTGGCGCTCACTGATACGAAAGAATGAACTGAGCGACTCCTCGGAAAGATTCAGGCGACATCGAGTCGCGTGTTGCTAACAAATGAGTGCACTTTTCGGCCAGCCAGCGGCTTAATTACTACTTTTAATTGTCTTGTGTTTTGGAATCATAGATTAGGACTTATTTGGAAAACCGTAACGTTGAGTAAATTGCACTAAGCATGTGTACAGAACAAACTAAAATAGAACGTTACGAAAATAGTTGTTTATGTAGTGCAAATTGTCAGTCCTAACCCTGAACAAAGTATGGAGGAGAATTGATTCGATTTTAAGTGTATTTTGATACTTCTTAATATAAAAATTGGGATCCGACAGATATAAACAAACAGACATAATAAGTTTACTGTAGCCAAGGATTGCTCTGTAGGGATCGTTACATTTTGCCTACTTTTGTGTAAATATTCTTTGTTGTATGTATTTCTATAAAAATAATAGTATAATAAAATAAATCAATTCATAGGTACATGTATTGAAAAAGGGGTACTCCTATTTGCTTGCTCAGTATCAATGATATTAACAGGAGACCATGGGTATATACGGGCGCGTGTGTGGCCCCGCCACTACCACAGTACACCTTTTTGAAGAGGAGACGTGTATGATGGACGACAATGCGACACCCGCTAAGTGAGTCTCGAAACTAATCCTAGAACATAAGGTTTATTTTTATTTACAAAATAAATGCTATCTTTATGTCTACTTCTAATGTACCTAGTAATTTTCCAGTGAGATGAAAGTAGACAGTAAGCAAAAATGAATACATATTATTTTTTTCTGGTACCGATAATTACACTTTTATGCTTATTATATTTCTAATATTGTTTAAATTAATTTTGAAAAAAAAACAAATATTTTATACTCGTTGTCACGTAACCGCAAACAGCGCGTGACGTCATAGCGACGCCATGACGAAAGTTGTCGTTTCGCGGATTTCTTTTTTTAAGTTAAATTTATTTTTCGTTTTTAAACTTATTGAACGAATTATACTTATTTTAAATATTTTTTTTGATATATTACATGTATATCTATTAACTAAAAATACATAAAAAAGTTGTCTACACCCCTATGATATATGATAGTATTTGTTTTCTATGTATAAGATTGTTTTATTTTATTTATGAAAAAAAAAATATGTTTAAGTATTTTATATTTGTAATCGATTACATTTTGTACACAATATTGGTACTGTCGACAATAACGTATTTATAAACAAAAACAACTGTTGCAGATAACAAGAAACACGAAATCGTGAACTATCACCAAACGGAGCTAATACTTTTCCAACTTACTTCTAACTTGTTTGTTTCAATTCTAAAATACCGTATGACATACATATTAATCTGAAAAATGAATATACCTATTTTTGGAAATCTCATGTCCTTTTAAATGGAAGTCAGCTTTATTCCAGCCAACCAATTTCAAGATCCAAGCGCAGAGACTTTTTGGGATCTTCTAAGGCACTATAATAATTCTTTGTTTTACAGACCCACTCATTTACTGGATGAAGACTCACAGAGCTCAGTGAAAAGTTCAACAAATGAAAGTAGCAAAATGAAGAAGTCCAAATTTGCTGATTTGTTTGACAGGTAATTCAATTCACCATTATCTATTTTAAATTACCTATTACGACAATAATAAAATAAGAAAGTTATCGATATATGTAGCTTGTATAGATATTTTATTAAATCATGTCAAGATTCGAAGCTCCACATCGCCAAATTTACTTTAAATGTTTTCGCATTTTATTTTCTAAACGTTTGAAAATCTTATGCAAGAACTCTTTTTACATAATATTTTCTCCATAATTAGTATATTATAAAATGATTTACATTACATTTTGTTACATTACAGTAACAAGGAATGGACAGCCGCCGATGTAAAAGAATACATCTGGCCTCCCGCCGAGAAACCAAATGAAGAATCACAGGTATGTACAATATTTTTTTTTTTCGTTTGAAACAAATATTTCTATGTTGATAATTGGTTTTGGTTCAATTTTAATAGCTATGATTTGGTAACTGCAAATTAATTTCAAATAATCTATACTTCTATTATAAAGGAACTAATATTATAAAGATCTTCTTTACATTGAACAGGTACAGCAACTACTAGATCGGTTTTAAAAATTATTTTAACTAAAAAGCTACACTACAGGTGACATAGGCTAAATTTTTTTATTTGTAAATTCACTACATATGTTCTTTATATGAAGTAATTATTTGCTTTAGTAATCTCTTGTCAGCCAATTTTTTCCAAAACCACGTAATGGATCCAGAAACAATTCAATGTGTAATATGTTTCACCATTTTTCTACTTTTGATGTAGTCGGGTCTTGTTATTGTGAGTCAGATAACAGGTATAAAGATTTGTGAAAATTTTCGTGTATTTTTAAGTGTTTAGTTAGAGTAATATAGATATGTTATTAACTAAGAAATATGTTGGATTGTTGTTGATAACTTGCAAGA